TACCTCGGACGACCGCGACCCCTGGGACTAGTGATAAAACCACGTGTTCTCTGGGAAATCGAGACCGTCATGACTCGAGTAGCCCTAGGTCGATACGCGTAACCCCTAAATAGCCGCCCGTTAGTAAGAGACGCTAAAACTGCAAATTGAGTTAAATCGATCGCGAGATTTAGTCCGAACTTCGGTGTCGATTTTCGTGGGTATACGCGACTAATTTTCAAGGACGACGTCATTTTTATGTGGCCACTCATATTTGGGATCGATAGAGCCGAAAATTGGACATTTGACCCGGGACCGAAAAATTACCGTTTTGCCCCTAGGCCTAATTCTAGTGTTCCGAATTTTGGAGTCATTTGGGGAATATTTTTAGGGTTTTATATTGCGTGTATCAGCCCAATAATGTTGTAATTTGAGGTCCATAATGCCCCCAAGTTATTTAGCAAGTTTAAACCCCAACCCTTGGATTAGGGGCAAGATTGGCATTTTGATGTTTTGGTCAACCACCTCACTATCTCACTCACTCCTTAAACACTCTAGTCTCTCTCTCTCTTCCTCATTTCCTCTCCCCCAAGTCAGCCGGCCACCCTCTCCTCTCCCCCTCTCTCCCGCGAGCTCCTCCCCTCCCGGCCTCACGCCGCCGTCGTGTACCGCCGTTCACCTCGCCTTGCCACCACCATTCAGCCGTCTCTCTCTCCCTCTCTTCTTTCCCCCTCTCGGCCACGGGAGCAGCCCCACCGTGGACGTCGTTCGCAAGCCGCCGCCGCCGATGCCGCCGCCGTGAAGGCCGCCCGTCGCCGCCGCTTGCCCCGCCGCTGTCCAGTCGCCGTTGCCACTTGTTCAGCTTTGTTTGGAGCCTAGGATTCCAAGTGAGTACAACCCTAAACCCTAATTAGGCTAATTTACATTTCTAGATGAGTTTTAGGGGTTAATTAGGGTATTTTAGGGGTTAAATTGTGGAGACTATTAGGGGCTGATATTGTGGCTGATTTCGAGGCTTAGTGTGATGATTTAATCAAGGTTTAGCGGTCTGTGGAGTGCTGATTTGTGGCTGAGCTGAGGCGCCTCGATTCAGATAGAAATGGTGGATTTGGCGGGAGAAATTTGTGAGCCAAATGGTAACTGTTTTCATGGCAATTTTGGTGGTCTAATGTGGTGATTTAGAGGCCACCCGATGGCCTAAGATGTACTGTTCATGGCTGATTTAGTGTCGGATCGTTTCGGGCCATGATTGGTTTATTGAGGTTTTAGGGTGCATTGCTTAGGGAATAATCATCGGCCGTGAGAATGCTATTTAGACGTGACTTGAATGTGATTGTGTGATACTCTATGATATGCTTGGCTTGGCCATTTTATGCAATGTTTGATAGGCAATCGGCATGTGTGGCTTTGGTGTTTAATTGCGTGAATTTGGGGTGCTAATCTATATGTTGTGACTGATTTGGATTGGTTGGTTCTTTGAATATATTGAGATGCAAATCGAGTATGTATCCAAATCATATTGAGTGCCCAGTGTGGAATTCACGAATGCCGAGTGTGACATTGTGGCCCTGTGCGTGCATACTGAGTATGGGCATATCATGTGCATTATGCGTGAGTGCACGAACGGCATGAGATCACCTAAAATGCCCTGATGCGTTTTACGCGGGGTTCAGATAATAATCGGTGATTGTGAATGTGTGATCACATAAAGCCCTGATGCGTTTTATGCGGGGTATTGAACCCGTCCTGAGGCGTGTTACGCGGGACGATGCCCGGATTACCGGAAGATGGCCAACCTGATGCGTTTTACGCGGGTTATGTGTCATGAGCCTGATGCGTTTTACGCGGGCCGGAGATCGATCTCAAAGTAATAGACCTGATGCGTTTTACGCGGGTCGGACCTGATGCGTTTTACGCGGGTCGGAGGAGAATTGATAATTGCAAGCGTGCTAGAGTGCAAGCGTGCGAGAAATGCATTGATGAGGCGTGAGCACGCGTATGAGCACGAGCATAAGCATGACATGCGTTGTGACCAAGTGATGTGTGCATGTGCTGCGGGTGGGTCCTCCATTATTATCTTGAATTGTAAGTGCCTAACCTGCAGGGCAAGGTAAGTATTGGATTTGGGCCCGAGGGCCTAAGTCAATTATGATTTGATTGGTGTGTTATTTGGTGCTCGTCAGGAGGTGCATATTAGCCTAGCTTAGGTTTAGGGAACCTACTCGCTAAGATTTATTCTCACTGTTGTTGAAAACCAATTTTTCAGACCCCCGGCCTTGAGATGTCGACCGTACCTGTTCGTTTTGGGATTCCTTACCGGATAGACCCGGAGGAGTCGGTGTACCCCGCAGGGAATGGGGATTTTTGGGTTAGATACCTTACCACAGTTCAGGTCGAGGCGGGTGAGGATGTGGATCAGGTCCATAGATATATAGCGTGGTGTATCAGGGACGATGAGGGGACCTACAGGCCTTTCCGGACGTTTGAGGTTCCGCTTACCGATGCCGGGGATATTGACCCTCAGTGTCCCGATGGGGAATTGGCGAGCCCTGATCGTGCGCCGGAGGATGGAGGTTCAGACCCGGAGCCGATGGATTTGGAGGACGAGGAGCCCGAGCCCATGGAGCAGGATATGGAGCCGGAGGACGAGGCCGAGCCGATGGATTCCGAGGAGAAGTCAACTGGGGCCGAGTCCGAGCAGGATTCCCTAAACTCGGAGGTTGAGATGTCTGATAGCTCTTCCGAGTCATCGAGATCCGACTCGGACTGGGTTCCGTAGGTTTAGCCCTTAGTCCTAGGTAGAGTGGACCAGTACCTTTTTGATTGGAGCCCCTCTAGTTTTAGTAACCCTGACTACCCGAGCCACTTATCCCTTTTTTATAGTAGTGGCCATTGACTCGCTTTTGATTTTTGGAGCGCAAGTTGTAAATGGATAGTATATATGGTTCCCAATACCAATGCAAGTATATATTTGATCTTGTCGTTGGTTACGTGGTTATCCTTGGTTATGTGGTTTCAAATTGTTCGGGTGTTTTAATATTTCCGCTGTGCTTTGTGTTCTCTGAGATTTGGGTGTTGGGTCGGCGACGCGTCCTGGGATGTCGCACTAAGAATCGACCTTTGCGAGGGATGTGGCGCGCCGTAGGGTGCGGGGCGTGACAGAACATTGGAAAGCTATTATCAGAATTTTTTGTTATCTTAAGAGAACTAAAAATTTGGGATTGTTCAATAGTGATTATCCAGCTATATTAGAATGATACATTGATGCTAGTTGAATTACTAGTGTAGCTGATCAATTTTCTACTTCCGGATGAAATTTCACATTAGGTGGATGTGTTGTAATTTGGGCAAGCAAGAAGCAAACATGTATGACTCATTTAATGATGGAATCTGAATTCATTACTTTAGAAGCAATTGGGAAAGAGGCAAAATGATTAGAAATTTGTTGCTATGCATCCTATTTCTATCAATCGTGAGAGTCAGACAACTTTGGCAAGAGCTTATAGTAGCAGCACTTATAATAGCAAGTCAAAACATATCAGTCTAAGACATAAGTATGTTAGACAATTGATTTAAGATGGTACTATAACAATTGTCTATGTGAAGTCAAGCAAGAATGTGGCTGATCCCTTTACAAAGGTTCCACCAAGAAAAGTGGTAAAGATGACTTCAAAAAAAATGAACTAAAATCCTTAAATTAAAATCACCAGTAATTGTAACACAACCTAATACTAGTATATACTAGTTATAGGGTTTAATGGGTAAAGACAACTTACTAAAAGTGACTGTTTGATACTAATATTAGCCCAAACATGAAAAGTCGGAATCGTCCCTTACATATTGTAGGTTGAATTATATTCTTAATGAAGTATAATACAAATTAATAATGTGTTTATTAGTATTAGAAACACATGGTAGATACTTTACCTATATTGTCTTAGAAGTGGTGCCGCTCCTTCAAAAGTTAGGGTAACACTTAAAGAGCTTATGAAATAGGAACAATCACATGGCCATAATAATGCTAAGTAAATTATAGAACTTCTCGTTTAAACAAGAAATTAGTATACATGCGATATGTCATATTTTATTATTAAAGTAACAAGTTTAAAGTTACAACTACTTGTAACTTTTATAGAATTTTGAGATACTTGTACTAAATAAAGGTTTAACTCAAAAAAGATATATATATTAATCTTATGGAAATTTTGGTTGTATATTTTTTTACATTTTGTTTTTGTAATTTGGTTTTACAAACAAAATAGGGGATTGTTGATAGTTTGTTTTCAAACAAACTGAAAGGAGCCTTATCTCATATCAAAAAGATATGATTGGTGGTTACAAACTTAGAGGTGGCTTATCTCGCATCGAAAAGATATGAGTGACGGTTACAAACTAAGAGGTGCGTGGTGGTTACAAACTAAGAGGTGCATCGTCTCATATTGAAAAGATAGCGTGATGGTTATTTTTAATACAGGAGGTTATTTTTTAGCTAACGGTTATTAGGTGTCTTTCAGCTTTTGAAAATTTGTATCTTTTTAGAAGTTATGAAATTCGGAATTAAAAAATTAATTTTTTAAAATGATTATTTTTTTAATCTGAATTTTAGTTTGTTTTTTGAAATAATATATCTGTTCATAATGCAATATTTCAAAGGAAAGGTTGTATCCGTTCAAACACAATATAAATTTGACGTTCGACGCTTCCGTTTCATTACTTTAACCTGTCGATTTTCTTTCCTTAAAAAAATACAGCCATTGTCTTCAATTGTTTCCCTTTTAAGAGTTCTTGGAGAAATATTAAAATTGCTATCTGGTTTCTTGTTTGAGACTTTATTGTATTATGGAGGATTTTTTCAATAACCATTAGCAATGTTATGAGGCAAATAATTCCTTAAAGATAGTGTATTAACGCCTCAAAGAGTAATTCCATTCTTGCTAATTGATTGATTTTTTTCACAGAAATAACGATAAACACTTCCATTGCCTATACATAATAGGATAAGAGAAGCTAATACGTGCATATAGTGTCACCTGGGTTTATATGGTATCAATCGAAGTCCTTACATGAGAAGATAATGAGGGAGACGATATTATCATCTGTACCAAATTCAACTATTCAAGGATTCATGTTTAGTATGAGGCATGTACCTCTCTTAATTTACATTGGTAAGCTCAGCGTCTATCGCTCTCTCGAGGCACCCTTCGTCTACACGATTAGGAAGTCCTTGATCAGCAGATGGTGTGCCTTGCTCATTGATCAAAACATCGTTGTTAAGGCTGGAGTCACATGATGAACTCGAAGGGAAATGAGTGTTTTCGAAAGTTTCAACAGCTGCAATCTCATTGCCACAATCGTCCATGCCTCTATCTCTAAATCTGTCCTTCCTAAAAGTATGAGAATTGACATCTCTTTGGTAAAATCTTCTTCCTAATTCAACAGTCTTCTCCCACAATGAACCTGAAGAACTTATTACATCATGCCAATTTCTTTTGATGAACATGACCATGAAAATGAGGAGAGCAGAAAATGCAGAAGCTCCAGCAATCAAGAATAGGCCCCAGAAACTATCAAGACCCAAGCTGTTCGAAGAAACTAAGGAGTTTGAATTCTGGCAGTTACTTTTCAATGTAAGCCACGCGTTTTCAATTTCCGTCATTTTAGGCCCTTCAGTCACATTGAGGATTGCTCGTGAAATATCCGGTACCAACGGAGACCCTTTGGGAAAAACCTGTAAACCAAAAGAAGTAGAACATGAGGTTTTTCAATCAAAGTATTAACTACTAAACCTAATAATTGAAAATTTCGAGGATTTTTTCTTTTAGCTAGAATTGAGGGATCAAGGACTTTACGAAGCCAAATCCAGCAGTTTTAAATGCTGGAATCATGGTATATTTGTTGCAATATTGCGAAAGAATAAGTTTAAGGTAGGGGACTTCGTGGAAAGCTGCTGCGATCCCGCCCTTTGCGCTTCTATTGGAAAGAAGCGCATTGCATTCTTCAGGAGACTGATAAGATATAAGTCTGGAATCATCGAACTTCATTTGCTTTAGCATTCCATAAACAAAAGAGCCGTGCTGGTAGCCCACGTTTTCTCCACTCTTTAGGAGTTGATCTACATCAGTCACAGTTGGTTGAAGATTTTGCACCACCAAAAGAGAGCTCAAGCTTGCTGTATAACTTTGCGTTAGTATAAGTACCACAAAAACCCACACGATCACAACAAATCTTGCTAAGTTGCTAAGTACTCTCTCCCCTGCAATCCAAATTAAGGGTAACCACGTAAATCCTCCTACAATGATATGTAAATTGTAATGTTCGATTTATCTGTAAAAGTGAAGGGTGATTACTTTGTGCAAAGACCACGGTTGAGAAGGAGAACCAGAAGCTCGTGCCAACTTGATGCGTGGCCGGACCCCTGAAATCTTCGTTAATCCGATGTTCGAGAATCCACACAACCAATGCTATAAACACAAAGAAGCATACAGTGATTAGCCAAAGATCCCAAGTGAGTGGCTTCAAGAAAACCCAAGCATTCTTGCTGTTGTTGTCCTTGTACGGCACGAGCATTGCACCCCCCGATTCGGTGTATGGTAAGGTGAAATCCACATACAATGATCTGTTTGCTATGATCGTCGTATCACCCACCACTGCATCATAATTCTGTTCGAACAAAAGGAAGGGAAAAGTTTTCTTTGTCAAACACATGATAGCATAGTAATTTCAACATGTAATCTAACGAAATCAAGCACTTGCAATGAGCTCACCAAGTAAAATACTTGATCGATCATGTCATTGTAACTGCCGGCGCTATTTCCATTAGGCAAAGCAAATGGAATAAGGTCGTAAGCCACAACATAAGGCAATTTTTCCATGACAGCTTGAAAGATGTCAATACAGTATCCTGTGACTTGGGATGTATTCGTGCTGGGATCTCGAGTCACCTTCACGAATTGATTAAAACCATCCTTCACGGGAACTAAGATTTTCAACCTCTTCCCATTTGTGGGAATCTCCCAACCCTTAGGAACAGAGGTTGAATCTCCTGGCCATATTATTGATTGGAGATTACTCTTGAAAGTGGAATATTTGCTTGTGTTGAATGAACTCAAATCTCTTAGCAGCCCATTTTCTAGCGTCCAAAACCCAATCCCTCTTGCTGCATTTCCATTGATGTTAACAATCTCGAATGCTGACGACTCTAGCTGCCCATCAATGAGGCTAAAATTTCCAGCGAGGCCCATGAATGTCGTATTTACTAGTCCTTGGAGAAGTTTCTGACCATTTTGAGACACCCCAATAGTGTCGAGATCCGTTGCATCTGTCGAAGCCTTCAACATCTTGAAGGTAAAATTGGCTGCACCCATTTCCTCGACAACCATTGCCAGAGCTTGAGCAGCATCATAAGCCCAGTATCCGAAAATGTTCAATGTAGGATTAAGGATGGATGGATTGTTTTGTTGGAATTTCATCTTCCATCGGACAATGAAGTTGTCCAGGTTTGGCGGGTCCGGGATATAAGTCTTAATGCCCAGTACTCCTTGCATCGAACTAGCGACAACAGATGAATCCACCGAATTCAATAGGTCAGTGATTCCATTAGTCAAAATCCACACATAACCTTCCCTCATCATTCCCACCTCTTTTGCTTTGGCAAATAGCCGCGAACCGAGAGTAGGTAGCATGTGCACGATGAACACCCTTGTTTGCATCATCATTAACTTGTAGAGTTCCTGCATGATTTGATCATCCGTGGCCGAGGGGGGAATAAGGCTCCTATAGGGCACTCGTGTGTCGATTTCTTCCAAAGCATCAGTAAGAGAAGGTATGATGCCTTCACCAAACTGATTATCCACATATATGAGGACCGATTCTTTCCAGCCAAAAGCTTGGACGACTGCGCTTATGGCATTCACTTGGGACGAGTCATTTTGTGCGGCTCGAATGAAGTAAGGACTCCGAATCGAACTGAGGGAAGGACTAGTAGCAGAAAAAGAGATGATGGGCACATGAGACTTGTTTCCAAGGTCAATGATGAAGTCTGCTTGCACGGAACCTTCAGGGCCTATTATGGCTTGGACTTGCTTGTTCTTTATGAGATCGAGTGCTGCAAGGGTGAACCAGAAAAGACGGTGAAACAACAACAATAAGGCAGATTATGGCAATTCTTATTGGAAAAGGCATGGTATCGATAAGAAGTCAATGAAAACTTGATGCAGTATTATAGCAATAGAAATGTTTAAGAAAAAGGAAAATAGGAGCTTGAAGTTGGAAAAGAAATTGTACTTAATATTATTCAAAGATATAGTCTTCTGACCTTATTGCAGGCACATAAAAGTGCATAAATTGGCTCAGACACTATCAAGTTGATTCTTCTTCATCGTTGAGTTGACCTCTCTACCTCATGGCATCAGAAAATTCCACTCCAGAATCCAAAGCCCATATTTCAATTTTATGGATTTTGTAAGGTCAGACCTTTGCGATGTTATATTATATATGAATTCTCTCAGCATCCATAGTAAACAGCTTTTATGTATTGACAAATATGTGGTCGAACTTGAAACTAACACGTTTGTTTTTTCTTTATTTCTCCATCAATAATAAAACTTCTATGGAAATAATTAATCACTAACTCAACTACACACAGCTCTTTAATCATAATAATTGGCTCAACTAGAGAAATAATCAGTACAATCATGTAGAGATGTACCCCATCAATATTTTCCCAAAAAAAGAATTTGAAATCGTCTCTATCAATCGTCCGCGCTGAAATGACTATTTTCTAAGCAAAATAGTTTTATGCTCTTTCGAAAAATAGGTGCGTAGCATGTGTCTTTTGAAGGACGATTCCTAACAAGATTCACCCATGATTTACACGCAGAACTTCATAGAGTTATGCTGCACTTACACCGGGACGAGTCACGGGAGAGCTGCATATTCTTCAAAGTCGTACGAAAATAAACAGAATAGTTACGACCTCAAAAGCACGGTCCAATTTTGACTTCGACTCGATCGATTCTATCCAAGTTGCCTTCTTTTGGCGATTTTCAATAATGATAAATTAAATTGTTTCTCGGTCAAATGTTACGCTCGGAGACTATGAATCCTCTCGAGCTAAGCGTCAAGCTGCCAGCCTAATACGACCGCAAGACTTGGAAGCATATATTGATATATTTCTGACTTCGAGACCATCCTCACTCTCAGTGTGAAAGAGATAATATTGAATCTCAAGTACCAACTTGGTGTTATCTTTTTTTTGCTCGAAACTTGGTGTTATCTTTGAATCTATTGGGAGAAGATAATGACTTCTATTTCACAATTATTACAACCCGCTTGAAAATAATGCTTGAAAGTTTAACTGGGAATTCTTTACAAATTTCAGTTACATAGAAACTGAAATGTTCATATGATTGGCAAATGCGTCATTATGAACATTGATTGGTTTTATCTTGCATCACACAAACAGCTGCACAAAATACTTTATCCTCTACAACAAGATGTGTATTAACCCAGAACCAAACCACTTGCAAGTTCAAGCAGAGACTAAACCCATAAATACTCGGTAAAAGAAAAGATTAACCAAAACAAACTTCGACACAATCAATAGAAGTACAGAAGTCTTAACCCAAGAACTGATGTTGTCATATAATTCTGGACAAGTATCATGACCAAAAAGCTCATTAGAGAGAGAGAGAACCTGCAGCGGCAGCAGCAACCTCATCTTGTTTGGAGTCTCTAACGTTGAGGACGAGCCTGGTCTTGCAGGAAGGGTTTGAACTATAAAAGTCAGCGAGAGACATGTTAATGCAGCTCAATCCCATCTGACCCACCCACGTCTCGAGATCAAGCACCACCCCAACGTTCACCGGGATCGTCGTGGCATTGTTGTTGTTACTGCTTTGAGCCACAGTGACCCAAGGGCCGTCGCCGAAGATCGCAACAATCACGAAAAAGTAGAGACCCATAAAGAGGAGCTTTTCAACATCGAAGGAAATTCCTGCAGGAGCCATTGGAAAGGGTTTTGGGAAAAGGCTAGTGTGACTTCGTAAGAGAGACAAAGGAGAGAGAGACTCTGAGGACAATGCTGATGCTGGCGATGTATTTATAATGGGGAAGAGCTTTGAAAAGTAAGGCAATGCATGGAGAGCGTCTATTCAAGGATTTGCTCGACGAGGGCGGGACCCTTCTGGGATTTGCTCGACCTCCGGTAGTACCAACACTTCATGATTTTTTTTTTCAAGTTATTATTTTGGATGAAGAACATCAGAAATTCTTTAACCCCAGGATTGCCTATACCATCATTTTTTTCCCTGGTTTTTCCATCAGAAATTATTTTGGTTTGAGTGCTAGAAACGACTCGAGATTTTTTTAAAGACCAAGAGATGCAAAGTCTTCGATAAGACCTTACCAAAAAAACAAAAAAAGTCTTCGATACGATGTACATCATTTGGTGATTTTTTTATGAATTTTCTAAGTCCAATATGGAGGATCTGTCTCAGATAGAGACTGCTTGAATCCAACCCGCAAAAGCTCTTGGAAGGTAGGACATGATCGTACGAACAAAAAGAAGAATAATAAGAAGATGAAATTGCTCGATGGTTCTCAATTATTATGAGAAGTACGTTTGGATTGAACTTTCTAACAATTTATAATCCTCTATGAATCCCATTTCCCTCGTCTTGCTTCTTTGTTGCGTAAACCGAAGAGTCAACCTCTTATATTGACGTTACATAGCCGCAAGAGATTGTTGCCTCATTGGCGTGTCTTTTCTGCGGAGGAAGAGAGGTCGAGAGTTCCGACTTTGATTTTCATTAGGAGGGTGATAAAGTAGGTCATTTTAGAACCATGCACGGTGCGACCAGATTTGTTGGGGAGAATCGGGCAACAATTCACTAAGAACTAATCCAGTCCAAAATCAATTTCTTTCCCAAAACTAAACCGACCAAAATCAACTTAATCTCAACAACAACCAGCAATACAACCTCGTAATATGTATATATAATGCCGAAATGATAAGAAGACAGATAAAAACAGCACTACGATTTAACATGGAAGCCCAATGCGGGAAAAACTACGGATAGCCCAAAAACTTCCACTAATCACGAAAAATAGTAAGGTACACAAAGTGTTCCTCTTTAGTCACACACTAGAAGCTCCACATCAATAATACAACAGTATTTCCATAATCATGAAGTTGGATTAACACAGATGGAGGAAGAAACCCTAATAGCGAGTGGAGAATGCAGAGAAGGTTCTCTGCCAACGAAACCGATCAACTCGTAGCCATCGGTCTCTCGATAACCCTATCCCACAGATGATAGATGAAATTAATATGTAAATACCAAGTCGACTAAAATTATGCAAAGATATATGATTTAACGTTGAAATCTAATAGGCTCTCAAAATTAGCTTTACAGGTCCCAGCAGAACCTTTTGAATCAATAATTTATGGCCTCCTTACAAATTTCTTGGCTTTGATATCTGCCGATTTGGATGCTCCGAAAAGTCTTTAGGGCCTGCTTTTTCCATAAAACCGCTAAACCCTTGTCTCATATAGCTAGTGAGAATATATAGACAAAGCTCATCTAAATCGTTGATCATGATTGTCCACAGGTACGGCCCAAAAAATTAAAGTTTTGGTGATATCAGTGGAGATGATCTACAAAACATGCAATAACTTCTCCTTAGAAGCAACAATATTGCATAGTCGAGATAGAACATGCAGACTAAACTCATCTAGGCCGTTCGTCACGTGAGTCTTATGTTCCGACACAAATTATTAATGGATCGGATAATATTACGACATATTATGTATATATTGTGCAATAACTATTTTTTTTATCTTGGGAGATAAAAAAAATGTGAGATGTGTACACCTACAGGCAACCCTAAGAAGTCCACACCAGACACTCTAGTTTGTTGTTTTTTCTGTCTCATTTTTTCTGAACCCCAGAGAAAGGTCGTTGTCTCCGGGAGTAGGACACCTTTGATTAAACGTAGAAATTTGTCTTTGTCCCCCCTTCGTTTACCTTGACCAATTCAACAAGAAAACCACACACGGCAATCATCAACCCGCGAACCCTCGTGGTTACCATCTACGCAAACTTGCTTGAATTCACCCAAAGACCAAGGAAAAAGTACAAAAACAATAAATTCTAAACCTATTGCACTTGTCCCAATTCAGTCATAAATCTTTCAATTGTGTCAATTTAGTCATAAATATTTTCACGTTTGGCCAGTTGAGTCCATCCGGCCAATTAAGCCAAAAATTACTAACATAGGCACTAACTGTCCTACATGACAAGATTGGCATAATGTGGATTTTTTTTATAAAATTTTAATAATTTTTTGATTTTTTATAATTTTTTCTGTTTTTCTTTTTTCTCATTTTTTTTTCTTTCCCTTTTCTTTTTGCTGATGACCAATAAGGGCTGGTCTTGCATGGGCAAGGATCACCCTTGCCCGCCAAAAGCAAGGGTCGGCCTCGCCTAGGCAAGGGCCCCCCTTGCTAGATCTGGCAAGGCCGACCCTCGTCAAGGCCAAGGCGGCCTTACCAAGCGTCGGCTGGGCAAAGGTTGGCCTTGTTGAGCCTCACTTGGGTAAGGGAGAGGCCCGTTGAGCCTCGCCCTGGCCTTGGCAAGGGTCAGCCTTGCTAGGGCAAGGGGGCCCCTTACCCAGGCCAAGGCGGCCTCGTTGAGCCTTGCCCTCGCTGGTGCTTGCCTCGCCTAAGCGAGACCCGACAATGCCAACCCCTCGCCGGCCATGGCCTATAGCCAGCGACCGGCCACTGGTAGAAAGAGAAGAGAAAGAAAAAAAATTCAAACAAATTGTTAAAAAATTAAAAAAAAAAATGTCAATATCGACGCCGGCTGTGCCATATAAGATCGCTAGCATCCATGTTAGTGATTTCCGACCTAAATTGGTCGAGTGGACTCAATTAGCAAAATGTGAAAAAGTTTATGACTAAATTTATATAATTGAAAGGTTTATGACTCAATTGGTACAAATGCAATAGGTTTAGGATTTTTTTTGTACTTTTTCCCAAAGACTAGTCATGTAAGAGATTCAATCGGTACGTCAAGTTGTACTATTATTTTTTTTAACTCCAACACACTCCTCAAGTTGAAGTTGAAGGAATGACCCAGATATCATCGTATTGAATGGAAACCCTCAAGCTTAGAAAAAAAAGAGAGTGGAAAAATTAGAAAGCAGATGACAAAGTAGGTCTAGATCCAAAATTGGTCACCTAATTACTCTAAGAATCACTAAGAATGACACCCACGTATATTTATGGCTCAACAACATAGTAAGCTCGGCAAATCATAGCGCAGATTGAGTGATTTTACTACGATCATTATTATAATTATCATCATTAGTAAAATTGGTTTCCATTACATATTGGACGACTTTTTAGAGTTTCCAAGAAACTGCGAGTGCATTGAAGTCAACCCTTTTGACTTTGATTTCTCCCAATATTATAATCGCTCTAGTGAGAATTGTATTGTTCCATATCTACCTAGCTTGAAAGGAACGCATATGGAACCATTTGATGACCAAAATGCAAACATTGATTGGGTACATTGCAAGCTAGAGTATTATGTCAATATATTTCGAGTGTGTGTGTGTGTATATATATATATATAGACCCGGAAATTAATTCAAAAATTATAGAAAAAATATTTAAAAAGAGGGAAAACTTAATTTAGGAGAGACTAAGTACTTGACCTCTCGACTTTAGATACAAGTCAATACATAAACCGTCGATGAGGTCATCCAAGAAAATAAATTAGAGAGACATGATCTTATCTATATGTAATGGATGATGATGACAGTGCGCATTCTCTCTCGGTTGACTCATTTGATGCATGTGAAAGTACCGGGTCATTGCTTACAAGGGAGTGCTTTATTTATATTGTTATTAGCCATTGGTAAGTATTATAATCGTGTGATTAAATAATGACTTTGAAATTAATTAGCTCTAGTCAATTCATATGGGGAGGCATTAACTGATTCTCAACGTACCATCCGATCTCATCCATTGGATTCTATCCTGATTGTTGGACACGAAAATTCGTCGAATGAGCCGATTATACAAGTCATGTGGTAGACAACGTGAATAATTTTCTCGGGAAATTTGGTATACGTTATGGAACTCAACAAGAATATTGAGTCCGAACAATAGCTACCTAGTTGATGTGATTAGTCGAAGTCATATGATGGTTGATACAGAGTGGACGTATATTAATTGAAGAGTCCAAACTTTCTGGTTTTCACAGGATTCCTTTTCATTTCGCTATCAATGTGATTGAGTAGTACAAATAAAATGATAATAAAATAATAGTGAATAAAAAATCAAGAATAGAAAAACATAGTGCCCATGATTTATGGGAAATGTTCTAGGCCGTTTAATTTGGGGTTGCACACCACAAGAAAGTTTTAACTTATTCATAAGCGTTTATTTTATGTGTCTGTCCAGTTCGAGATTATAGTATATATTAGTGAAATATCCATGTATGGGTCTAAGGGGACATTTATTTCGCAAAAAAATGAATGGTTTAAAAAATATTTTCCTAAAAATGATCACTCGTATTCTTTATAAAAATATATAAACGAAAAATATTTTCATTATTTACGAAAATATTACTAATTCAGTAGAAACTATTTTTATTACATATCGAAATGTCATGGACTTGAAATGTTTGTATTGTTCCTAAAGGGTCATATCAAGTAGTTATCAGAACTTGTTTCGTCTCTTTCATATGCATATTCTAGGAAAGAGCCCCATCATAGAAAAAAACTCGATATTTGTAGCTAATCACAGCCACAGGACAAGATGAGATAAGAAGATAGGGGTATACTTAAAACTTCTTGTTGTCCTATTTTTCTGTCCTCATATATCTGTTGTATTTTCTTGCTTTTTTATATTTTTATCAGTCGTCTTCAGTGAAAAAAAAAAGTCATTTTAACTGGTGAAAGAAAAAGCCATTTTCTTCCACAACACTGATGCAGCAACAATAGATGTTAACACAAATCGAGAAAAATAATAAATTTGTAAACATTAGTTTGAACTCGCAAACACATAAATTTGCATAATAACAAAATAAATTCTCTCGATTAGTTAATTCATTAAAGAAAATTCTGATGAAATTCTCAATTTAAAAAAGCTTAGATCAAGAGTAGGCCCCACATTTGACATTAGTCTTCGTTGGGTATAGTGGCAATTGAAATTTTTTAATTTTGGCTAAAATAGTGGCAATTGAAATTAATATGTTTCAACAGCAAGCTAAAGTAGGACTCGCAAGGC